TGGTTACTATCTCTGGCACTCCCTTTCCTCTTTAGTTCTTAAAACAACTTCGTTTTTTTTTCTATCTTGAAAAAGCTTTCCATTTGTCTCCACAATGCCTTTTAGCTACAGTTCTTTAGATTTCCTTCCCTGCCAAACTTTCAAATGAGCATCTGAGGAAATTGCCTCTATTTTCTCTCTTTTTACTTTTTGCTTAACCACTGACAATTTGGGTACCGTTGTCATACTTTAGTCAAACAGCTCTCAAGTTCCCACTAACAACCTTCTTATTACACAATGTAGAGGTGCTTTTTTCTGTTCTCTTGACATCGTTTTCTTTCTGAAAATTGTATCTTGAGTAATTGAATTCTTAGAACTTTAACACTGAAAGAGACATTGAGTCCAACTCTCATTTTATGTCTGGGGGAAACTGAGGCCTAAAAAGTTGGAATGATTTGCCCAGAAAGGTCCAAAATTATAAAATCTGAGCACTGAATTCAGGGCATCCGACCCATCCTCCATGGTAGATTCTGATCCACCGTAAGAACTGCTTTTGGTAAGTCTTGATTCAAACCCTTCAAAATATTCCTGACTTTTATATCTTTCGGTTTAAAGACTTTCCAGCTAGTCTCCTAGCTCCTTCCTTCCACAGCCCATTCTCCATTGCAGCAGTCTGGATGATGTTTCTAAAACATAAATCAGAAACTACCACTCCCCTACTTCCCCACTTCCCCTAGCCTTCAGTTCCTCTTTAGTGCACTTAGAATAAAATCCAAAATTCTTCCTGTGCCTTGCAAGACCCCCTATGGTCCAGCTCTCTTTCTGATCTCATTTCCTGCCAGCCTTCCTCTTGTAGTCACTGTGTTCCACCACAGAGTCTCCCTCAGCTGGCCAGCAAGGCAGGCCTTGGCCCCGCCATGAGCATTTGCTTTGCTCGTCTTTCTGCTGGGAATGCTCTTCCCCAGACCACTGCTGCTTCCTCCTCATCATTTGGCCTTTGCTCAAATGGCCACCTCCTTACTCGACCTCACTCTGTTGTCACCACATCTAACATCGTCCCTAACCATCCCACTCTCCATCACATTGTGTTATTTTCTTCATAGCATTTGCCACCAGCTATTATTACATTATATTACTTACAGATTTAATTTGGAGCGTGTCATGTTTCTCAGCATTAGAATACAATTTCATGGAATATAGGAACTTTGTCTTGTTTTCCATATTCCAGCAAATGGCCAGTAGATCAGCAAATGGCCAGTGGTGAGTGTTTAACAAACATTCGTTGGATGAACAAATGAATGAATTGTGTCTGAATTATTGTCTCATTTCCAATCATCTTCTCCCTCCTTTTCTCCCCAATTCTATTATTCAATTATTCTCTCAAAAAGTTTTTCTCTATCATAATCAAACTGCTTTCCTCATAAACCTGTAAGGACAAAACTTATTATTGACTAGGAGCCTTTTAAAATTTTCTCTGACCAAACACCCACCCTATGCCTCTCTAATTATTTAAGTTGTATCACTGTGTTAACGTATGAGTCACATTCAGTTTCCATGGAATCACGTCTCACAGCTTTCATTGATTGCCCTTTCTTCAAGTCATGTAAAGTGACCCTTACATATGTAATCTAAATACTCATTTGTAATCCATATTGTCTTTAATTATTTCCACATCATAATACTTGGGCACTGTGTCTAGGTACACGTGTGTATGTGTGTGTGTGTGTGTGTGTTTGTAGGGTAGGGTAGTGGCTCATTATTTGTAGATTCGGCATTTGCAAATTGCCTACTCGCAAAAATTTATTTGCAACCTGAAAACCAATACTTATGTCACTTTTGTGGTCATTCATGAACATACCTGGAACGGTGAAAAATTGGTCACCCCAGCTTCACACTACTAGCTGAGACGGAGCAAGGCAGCACTGTGCCTTCTTGTTTTAGCTTTCATGCAATAAACAAGTGACCTGTTTGTGGTCTATTTAGTGGCATGTTTTTTGCATTTTGTGCTTTTTGTGGGTGATTTCACTGTTTGAAATGGCCCCAAGTGTAGTACCGAAGCACTGTCTGCTATTCCTAACCACACACAGGCTGCGATGTGCTTAACAGAGAAAACACCTGTGTGTTAGATAAGCTTCCTTCAAGCATGACTTACAGTGCTATTAGCTGTTAGTTCAGTGTCAATGGATCAACAGTATATGTTAAATGTAAGGTGTCTTTAAATAGAAATACACATAAAACAAGATTATATAATGGCTGGTTAATGAAAATGTGACCAGAGGCTCACAAGAACCTAACTCTATTTTCCCTCAGAATAATAATTTTACATTTCCTGAGTTGGTGTTCTGTTCATGAACATTTTATAGAACATAACCACTGTGAATAACAATACTTCACTAGATGGCGTGTGAGTATATGTATGTTGGCATTAGCCTCATTAGGAGTTTAGGAGACAAAGACATCAAGACTTGTTGAAATTAAGAAGTTTGTCCAAGGCTGGGCGCAGTGGCTCACACCTGTAATCCCAGCACTTTGGAAGACCAAGGTGAGTGGATCACCTGAGGTCGGGAGTTCGAGACAAGCCTGGCCAGCCTGGTGAAACCCCATCTCTACTAAAAATACAAAAATTAGCTGGGTGTGGTGGCAGGCACCTGTAATCCCAGCTATTTGGGAGGCTGAGGCAGGAGAACCACTTGAACCCAGAAGTCAGGGGTTGCAGTGAGCTGAGATCCCGCCATTGCACTCCAGCCTGGGCATCAGAGCAAGACTCCGTCTCAAAAAAAAAAAAAAAACTGTCCAAGATTATTTGCCAAACTGCTAAATAAATGGTAGACCTGGAATCTGATGTCTCATTCCAAAGTCTTTTGGCTTTCCATTTACCGCACCAGTGGCTTTGCTTTTCTTTGTTTTAATTAGCTATTGAGCTCTTATTTTTACAAGCTACACACACACACATACACACACACACAGAGTCATGCATCTCATAAAGACATGGGTCAATGACAGGCCACATGTGTGATGATGGTCCCATAAGATTATACCATGTTTGTACTGTACCTTTTCTCTGTTTAGATATATTTAGATACACAAATACCTGCCATTGTGTTACAGTTGCCTACAGCACTCAGTACAGTAACATGATATACAGGTTTCTAACCTAGGTACCATATAGCCTGGGTGTGTAGTAGGCTGTACCATCTAGGTTTGTATAAATACACTCTATGATGTTTACGCAATGATGAAATCTTCTAAGGGTACATTTCTCAGAAGTTATCCCTGTCATTAAGCAATGTGTGACTGTGTATGTGTGTATGTATGTATGTGTGTGTGTACATATATATATACACGTATGTCTATGTATAAAATATAAGTGGAATATGCTGAATGATGAATGAAAAACTAGATACAGAAAGTAAAATGAAGACAATTTTAAAGCAGCTTGCTTCATCAACCCAGGATAGCATTTACTTACAGTCATCCCAAACCACAAAAGAGAAGTAAAAGTACCTCTTTGTTTAGTAACAATATCTACAAACTTCAGATTCCTTATCGTGGGAAGTGGAAGTCTGACAGGTGGCCAAACCCTGAAAAATCAAAGTAAAAAAAATGCTGCCATGACCTGGATTTGTTTCCTGGCCTGTGGATGTGCATCTTAAACTTGTCTGGCATTTATTTGAGCTGAACTCATACCTGCACATGGTATGCAGCTAGGCATGCTTGAGCCTGATTTCATAAAGATCTACAACCTTTCTAATCAATTATGCATTTATATATACAGAGATGACAGGAGAAATTGTATCCTAAAATCTGTATGTAACAGTGTAACATGGATGAGTTTACTGACTTGTGGTCTCAAGTGATTTATATATATACATATATACACTGATACATACACATTAAGACATATTTTTACATCGTAATTTGTTTTCAAAAAATAAATATTTTTGGAACCATTAAAGCACCTTGATGAACACAGTTTGAAAACCCTGTTGTTGTTGTTGTTTTCTTCTTCTTATGCTCTTTTCTAAGTAGATTGTATAAGCTCCTTGAGGGTAAGCATAATATCTTTTATGCTTCTGTATTTGCAAATTGATCTTAGCTTAGTACCAAAATATAGAGAAGTCTCCTACCACTGATAATCCAGTTTTGCCCAGATGGTTGACAACCACCTACATTAAAACAAATATTAAGGCAGCGTTATGTTTAGAATTAAATGGTGGAATCGAAGGATGTCATTTAGTGTGTGGAGCAAGAGTCTCCATGCACAAAATGGATGGACTTTTTCATATAATAATCTCTTGATACTTCTTTTTCCCTTGAAAAACAAGGGCCAGTCATAAGGCTTAATACTTCCTCAACTTTCAAAAAAGCTTCCAGGGTCAAGGTCGAGTGAGGGGCTTCCAACAGTAAGGCAAGACAAAATTACTCTTTATGTCTGCCTCAAGGTCAAAGTACAAAACACTGAATGAACAGTGTTACAGAAAGGGACTAAGTGGTCCTTAAAAGTTGTGTCATTATTTTGCTGTAAGAATTAATTGGTGTGAGCTTTGAATTCTGAAATCTCTATTATTTCAGTATTTTGTGATATTTTGTATTCTTTTAATTAAATGGCTGCATATCCAGCGACTTTAATGATCCTGTTTTGAGGAGCTATGCCTTTCACAAATCAAGGCATCAAAGTCAATGTATTTTTCCACAGTTTATAGTATAGCTGAGTTTCATTGTGCAGATAAAATTGGATTAACCACATGACTCTACCTATGGCTTTGCGGGCTCGGTCAGTTCTCCAACTGTGCAAAGGAAATCTGCATTCAGAGGTGGTGACCCAATGGCTTTGTCCTTTCAGGGTTCAGTAAAAATATCTACTTCATGTTTTAAAATAAGTCCCTCTCAGAATTTGTTTAGCAAACTCCTAGCCCCAGAAGAATGCACAGGCAGGAGGATGATTCTGGCCTTTTCAGCCTCACACTCATGCTTATTTTTCAGTGGAGATTATTGAAAACTGTAATTCTTTCTTGCTTCAGGAAAAGCTGTCAGAGGAAGAGAGAAAACATAAGGAAGCTTTGGAAGATCTTCACATGGTGGTTGATGAGGATTCAAGGAGTGAAAGCAGCAGTACAGATGAGGGAAAAGAAAAGACCAAATTGCTATTAGAGAGATTGAAAGCTCTAGAGGTAAGAAACAAAGTAATTTTTATGCTCTAGAGGTAAGAAACAAAGTAATTTTTACACTCGTCAAGAAAAATAAGTCTTCCGTTTCTTTTATTGGCACTGATTTTGAGTGAGTATAAATCTTCCCTTTTCAGTTCTCCCAGACTAATACGATCTATGATTTCCTACTAAGATTTGTTTGTCTACAATGAGCAAAAAGTTAGCACTGAAAGGGTCTTAACCTTATGTTGTTTTAAAAGGAGTACATAGGGTAGCCATTGATTTTTAACTTAAATTCAGCCCTCAAACTGTATTAGATTCTAAAATTGCAAGCTCCTTGTGGGAAGGGGCTAGGTGATATTTCACTTTGTTTTTCCTAGTAACTGGCAAAATGAATGAATGAATGAATGAGCAAAATATTTAATAGTATGTAAAATTATTACACACACACACAGAGATTTTAAGCAGTATAGTCATCTCTTAAAACAAACAAACAAACAAGCAAACAAACGTGCAGGAATTCAATGTGTAAAGCATCTAACAGTGGAGCTGAAACTGGCTAAGGAGACTTGAGATTTTTGGAGCACCAATGTCCTCCAGATACCTCCAGACCGGTATTTGATAACACCCATCTATTACTTAGTGGCATTTGACATTATTTCAAGTGTTAATTCATGAATTTTTATAGCAGTCATCAAAGACCATTCCAGTTACTAGTTCCTGATTGAAATGTCACACGCTTAAGGACTCAACCAAGATTTTTTTTTCTATGAGTTCACTTACCTCCTTTTGATAAGCTTATGAAAGGCCTTCACTCAACATCTAAAAATGCAGTTCTACCATAGAGTCTATAGAATCCTGAAAACTCTGCTAGTACAGAGGAAGAAGACCTAGAGAGGCCTCATTTTCTATGCTTTGTTTCTGCAATTCTTCCTTGGTTCTACTACATTGTCTATAGTGAGCATGTCCATTTTACACTAATTTCTTCAGTGGTAATAAAGCAGAATGGTGAGATTATGTACTTTGAGCTCAATTCTTGGGGTTTGGCTCAAATCCCTTTTCGACCACTTTCTAGCTTTGAAACCATCAAAGCTCCCTGAGCTTCTGTTCCCTCAGCTGAAATCATGGGGATAGTAATAGTAACTAGCCTTACAGGGAAGTAATGAGGATTACTTGAGTAATTATTTTTAGAATGATGCCTGTGCATCGTCTCTTTTATTCATCCACACCAAACCTGCACCTTTTTCTTAATTTTCTTCCTACTTATCTGGGTACAATGATTAATGATATAAGGACTGTGAATGAAAGATGTTGGCTACTCTACAAAGGTGTGACTGAAGGCAGACAGGTAAGCAAGTGACTTCAAACACAGTGCAAAAGAAAGGCCAACTGAAGGAATCACTGGCAACTCCCTCTGGGCAAAGAGCTAGGAATCACCCTTGTCTCCCCATGGGTTTTTATTCATTTGTCATTTTCTGAAGACAGTCACTGTAAAACATAGGAAAGCTTCTCAAGGGAAACTGAGGTTCCTACTTGGGTTTTAAGAAACTTATAGCTTTGTCTTGAGGTTGAATTAACTAGATTCACAATAGGAAACAGTTGATATTACCATTTCTTGATCCCATAGGACCATGTACTTAAATTGTTAGGTTTTTGTTTATAGCTACAGAGAAAAGTAATCTTAGTTCATGTCATTGTTAGAGACAACAATGTAAAGGACATTTTACTTAATCAAGCTAAGAGGTCTTTAAAAAACTATATGGCAGCAAATGTTTCTTAAACTGTAGTGAGTAAAAGAGAAGCAGTACTTATTTTTCCATCAACAGAGTCCTTTACACCTCAGACAACCACTCTTGATTCCAGCATTAGTTGGATGCAACAGATGATCTAGAAGTGCCATTAAGCCCCACTATTTTAATTCATAAAACTCTTTTATTTTTTAATTTCCAGTAGTCATAGTGCCACTGCTTGTTTCCTAAAATTCTTTGTTCAATATTAAGTGAACTTTCTTCTAGCCTTCACATCTTACTATCTTCTATTTAAATAGGTAATAAGATTATTTTATTTTATAACATAAAGTATATAAAATAAGAAATACAAATATGTTTGTAACTATATATAAATATATTTTCTTACATAATATATAGATGTCTTTTTGTCATACATGTAATTCATTTTCATATGAATTTTATGTGCTACTTAAATTTTTTCATTTTAAAACAATTGGCTCCATATTCTCAGTGTCTAGGATCTTTTGCATGGGTTAAACATGGTTGTGGGAAAATAGAGGACTGATTTTGACAGTCTACAGTCAGAGCTGGTCATAGATCCCATATGGATTTATATGCTTTAACAAAATGCTTCCTTGGAAAGCTGCAGTGGAATTCATTATAATGTGTCAAAAATTACTTTGGCAAAATCTGATGTACAGCAAGATTTTAAAAACACAAAGAATATTTTCCATCAGCATATTTTTGGAAGGCAGCTGTGCTCACCAATACTCTACCAGCACCCCATCAGTGTATTTTTAAAATGACCATATTTGTATACCCTAATCTCTTGGCCCCTGGTTGTTGAAGGTCACAGAAAGAAATGATTGTCAGGATGGTAGAAAGCAGTCTTCTTTCATTCCTGATCCCCCAGCAGTTTCCAAGAAGGTGTGGAAAACAAAATGCAGAGATGACTCCTACATTCCGTTCTTGATTACTGTGACAATGATATTCAAAAACAGCTTGAGGAGCCCCTGACTTTGAAAATTAATATTGTCTAAGCAAATCACCCCTGGATTATCCCCTCATGTGGCCATTCCTGGAGTAGGTTCCTACTCACATTCATCAATCAATTCCTCTTTCTTCTCTATGCACCAACCTCCTATGAACTATCAAGAAGATGAGCTCAGAGAGGTAGACGAGGTCCAGAACCTATTAAGCCTTATAGGTCATGGCCACAATAAACACTTGGAAATCAGAGACCCCTTTACTTGACTTTTCCAAAATCCAACCCTAGGAAGGATATGGGGTCATGGCAGAATATTCTGGAGGCGAAGGGCCTTCAAGTCTGTCTTTTGATAGTTCTTTTACCTCTCAGTCCTTTGGTTGCAGGGCATTTCTCAGTAGCCTTTCTCCACAGTTCCCAGATCCCGCCTTAGAACGTGGCCAGCTCTGCACCACTTACTCTCCTCTCCCTCAGCCACCTTCTCCCACAGCCAAGTTCTGTTTTTTTTTTTTTTTGATGGAGCCATCTAGGTCTCTGCATGCCATGTCATGGGCTCATTCCATACCACCCCCATGCTTGGCAAAGTATTTTGCTAATTAAGACCTTTACCTTCCTGAAAACACCTCCGGTGCCAAGAATCAAAATTATAAAAATTATAAGTATACACACACATTCTGTCCTTTCAGCCTTGTGTTCTCTACTGAGTGCATTGGTTTCAGCTGTTTCCAGCTCTTCAGAGTGAAGAGTAGACCGTCTACCCACATACCTAGCCACTGGATCCCCTGCGCTTAAATTCTAATTTGTGTTTAGGGTCCTGGTGCCTGGAGGAGAAATCGTTTGGTGTACATTTGTGTCATAGGGACACATGAACAATCTGGATGCCACTTGCACATTTTATGTAACTTCTCAGTGCCTGAGGGTAGCATTTTCTATATTTTTTTAAAAATTTGGGTTTTCCCTAGAAGAAAACCTAGGCAAAACCATTCAGGACATAGGCATAGGCAAGGACTTCATGATTAACACCAAAAGCATTGGAAACAAAAGCAAATATAGACAAATGGGATTTAATTAAACTCCAGAGCTTCTGCACAGCAAAAGAAACAATCATTAGAGTGAACTGGCAACCAACAGAATGGAAAAAATATTTTACAATCTACGCATCTGGCAAAGGGCTAATATCCAGAATCTACAAAGAACTAAAACAGGTAAGAAAAAAATCAAACAAACCCATTCAAAAGTGGGCGAAGGATATGAACAGACACTTTACAAAAGAAGATATACACGAGGCCAACAAACATATGAAAAAATGCTCGTCATCACTGGTTGTTAGAGAAATGCAAATCAAAACCACATTGAGATACCATCTCATGCCAGTCAGAATGGCGATTATTAAAAGTCAGAAGACAACAGATGCTGGAGAGGATGTGGAGAAATAGGAACACTTTTACACTGTTGGTGGGAGTGTAAATTAGTTCACCCATTGTGGAAGACAGTGTGGCGATTCCTCAAGGACCTAGAAATAGAAATTCCATTTGATCCAGCAATCCTATTACTGGGTATATATCCAAAAGATTATAAATCATTGTATTATAAAGATACATGCACACGTATGTTCATTGCGGCACTGTTTACAATAGCAAAGACCTGGAACCAACCCAAATGCCCAATGATGATGGACTGGACAAGGAAAATGTGGCATATATACACCATGGAATACTATGCAGCCATCAAAAACGATGAGTTTGTGTCCTTTGTAGGGACATGGGTGAATCTGGAAACCATCATTCTCAGCAAAATGACGCAAGAACAGAAAATCAAATACTGCATGTTCTCACTCATATGTGGGTGTTGAACAATGAGAACACATGGATGCAAGGAGAACACATCACACGCTGGGCTGTGTTGGGGGGGACTAAGGGAGGGACGGGGTGGTGGGGAGGTTGGGGAAGGATAACATGGGGAGAAATGCCACATATAGGTGACAGGGGCATGGAGGCAGTAAACCACCTTGCCGTGTATGTACCTATGCAACAATCCTGCATGATCTGCACATGTACCCCAGAACCTAAAGTACAATAAAAAAGAAAAGTGGCTTTTTAAAGCCTGCTGTTTCAGAGACTGCTTACCTGACTTAGAACAAAGCTCACCATTCTCAACAGGACTGCCATGTCTCCAGTTGCTTCTGTAAGGATCACTGCTTTCTCCCACCCCACCAGAGACCACCGATTCAAGAGATCTTCCCGACTTGCTCTCCAGAATCCATTGGCTTCACCTGAAGTTTTCCCTGTTCCCTATTGCTGGGCATTCAC